CGTTGTCCCCCCCAGGATACAGTCCTCCAGGTCCACCTCCTCGGAGAGGTTCATCTTCCCGGTGATGGTGGAGAAGATGAGTCTCTTCTGGCGCCGGTCGGGCAGCGGGAACTCGATCTTCCTGTCCAGGCGCCCGGGACGCAGCAGCGCCGGGTCCAGCGTGTCCGCCCGGTTGGTGGCCATGATCACCTGGGGGAGGGGACGGGGGTGTCACCCCCACCCCGGGGCCACCAAACCCAGGGGACACCCCCAAAACCCATGGGACCCCCAGAGCACCCACGGGACACCAGGGGGGAGCAACATCTCCCCAGGGTTTCTCATGAGGAGCATCTGGAAAACGTTGAGGTGTCCACCCCAGCACCCATGGGACCTCCATAATGGGATGTCCCCACCCATGGGACCCCCCAAAACCCACGGGACCCCCATAGCACCCATGGGACCCCCCTAGAACCCACAGGACACCAGGGTGGAGCAACATCTCCCCAGGGTTTCTCATGAGGGACATCTGGAGGAACGTTGAGGTGTCCACCTCAGCACCCATGGGACCTCCATAATGGGACCTCCCAGCACCCATGGGATGTCCCCACCCCTGGGACCCCCCAAAACCCATGGGACCCCCCTAGAACCCATGGACACCAGGCTGGAGCAACATCTCCCCATGGTTTCTCATGAGGAACACCTAGGAGAACGTTGAGGTGTCCATCCCAGCACCCATGGGACCTTCCTCCCCCCATGGGACCTCCCAGCACCCCTGGGACCCCCCACCTTGACGTTGACGTTCTGGTCGAAGCCGTCCATCTGGTTGAGGAGCTCCAGGAGGATGCGCTGAACCTCCCGGTCGGCTGTGGGGGGTGGGACACGTGGGGGGTGGGACATGTGGTCCTTGATGCCCACCATGAGGTTCTCCAGAAGGTCCCTGACCCCCACCCACCCAAGGACCACCAGAAGCTCTTGGAAGCCCACCATGGGGTTCTCCAGAGGGTCCCTGACCCCCACCCAAGGACCAAGCACCAGCAGGAGATCCTTGATGCCCACCAGGGGGTTCTCCAGAGGGTTCCTGGGGCCACCAGGAGGTCCTGGACCCCCACCCAAGAACCACCAGTGACCATCAAGAGGTCCCCAAACCATCTAGAGGGTTCCTGACCCCCACCCAAGGACCACCAGGAGCTCCTGGAAGCCCACCATGGGGTTCTCCAGAGGGTCCCTGACCCCCACCCAAGCCTCAAGGACCACCAGGAGCTCCTTGATGCCCACCATGAGGTTCTCCAGAAGGTCCCTGACCCCCACCCAAGCCCCAAGCACCACCAGGAGCTCCTGGAAGCCCACCATGAGGTTCTCCAGAGGGTTCCTGGGGACACCAGGAGGTCCTGGAGCCCCACCCAAGAACCACCGGCGACCACCAAGAGGTCCCCAAACCATCTAGAGGGTTCCTGACCCCACCCAAGCCCCCCGAGGACCACCAGGAGCTCCTGGAAGCCCACCATGAGGTTCTCCAGAGGGTCCCTGACCCCCACCCACCCAAGGACCACCAGGAGCTCCTGGAAGCCCACCAGGGGGTTCTCCAGAGGGTTCCTGGGGCCAACAGGAGGTCCTGGAGCCCCACCCAAGAACCACCAGCGACCATCAAGAGGTCCCCAAACCATCTAGAGGGTTCCTACCCCCACTCAAGGACCACCAGGAGCTCCTGGAAGCCCACCATGGGGTTCTCCAGAAGGTCCCTGACCCCCACCCAAGCCCCAAGCACCACCAGGAGCTCCTGGAAGCCCACCATGAGGTTCTCCAGAGGGTCCCTGACCCCCACCCACCCAAGGACCACCAGAAGGTCCTTGATGCCCACCATGGGGTTCTCCAGAGCGTTCCTGGGGCCACCAGGAGGTCCTGGACCCCCACCCAAGAACCACCAGTGCCCACCAAGAGGTCCCCAAACCATCTAGAGGGTTCCTGACCCCCACCCAAGCCCCCCCAGGAGGTCCAGGACCCCCCCCCAGAAGGTCCCTCGGGTGCCCCCACCTCCGGTCTGGGCGTCGAAGCGCTTGGTGGCGATGGCGTCGATCTCGTCGATGAAGATGATGGCCGGGGCGTTCTCCTTGGCCAAGCGGAAGACGTCCCTCACCATGCGGGGACCTTCCCCCAGGTACTTCTGCACGAACTCCGAGCCCACCACCCGGATGAAGGCGGCTGCGGGGGGAGGGGGGCACCCATGGGGGCTGGGACCTCGCTCGGGGGTGGGGACAGCACCCCCAGACCTCCCGCGGCCACCAGCACCCCGAGGTGACCACCAGGACCTCATAGAACCCACCAGTGCCCCGAGGAGCCCACCAGGACCTCAAGGAACCCACCAGCACCCCAGAGGTCACCACTACCACCAGCACCACCCATGGGTGCCCACCAGCACCTCAAGGTCCCACCAGCACCCCAAGGAACCCAGGAGGACCTCAAGGAGCCCACCAGCACCTCGAGGTCCCACCACTACCCTGAGGTCCCACCACCACCCATGGGTGCTCACCACCACCTCAAGGAACCCACCAGCACCCTATGGATCCCACCAGCGCCTCAAGGTCCCACCAGCACCTCGAGGAACCCAGGAGGACCTCAAGGATCCCACCAGCACCCTGAAGTCCCCCCCAACACCCAAAGACCCCACCACCACCCATGGGTGCCCACCACCACCCCGAGGCGTCCAGGAGGACCTCAAGGAACCCACGACCATCCTACGGATCCCACCAGCACCCCAAGGAGTCCAGGAGGACCTCGAGGAACCCACCAGTGCCTCAAGGTCCCACCAGCACCCCAAGGAACCCAGGAGGACCTCAAGGAACCCACCACCCCCTCTAGGTCCCCTCACCAGCACCCATGGGTGCCCACCAGCACCCTATGGATCCTACCAGCACCTCAAGGTCCCACCAGCACCCCAAGGAGCCCAGGAGGACCCCAAGGAACCCAGGAGGACCTCAAGGAGCCCACCACCCCCCTGAGGTCCCCACCACCCATGGGTGCCCACCACCACCCCAAGGAACCCAGGAGAACCTCAAGGAACCCACCACCATCCTACGGATCCCACCAGCACCTTGAGGTCCCACCAGCACCTCAAGGATCCCAGGAGAACCTCAAGGAGCCCACCATCCCCCCAAGGTCCCCACCACCCATGGGTGCCCACCAGCACCCCAAGGAACCCACCACCACCCCAAGGAACCCAGAAGGACCTCAAGGTCCCCCCAGCACCCCTGGGTGCCCACCTGTGGTGTGATGGGCCACAGCCTTGGCCAACATGGTCTTGCCGCAGCCGGGGGGGCCGTACATGAGGACGCCCCGTGGGGGGTCAATGCCGATCTGGGGGGGACACGAGGGGTCACCAAAGGTCCCAGGCGTGTCCCCCCCGCCCCCACCCCACCCACGGGTGCCCCCCGAGGTCCCACCTGCTTGTAGAGCTCGAAGTGGGTGAGGGGCAGCTCCACGGCCTCCCGGACCTCCTGCTTCTGGATGTCCATCCCCCCGATGTCCGCGTACATCACGTCCGGCTTCTGGTCTGCAACGGGGACGGGCCAATCAGGGGGGGACACGGGGGGACACGGGGGGACAACCCCGGCCACCGGGGGACAACCCCACCCAGAGCAGGTCACCCCGGAGACGGTGGCTCCAAGGATGGAGAAGTGGGTGGGTGGTGGGTCTCCATCCCCACGTGTCCCTCACCCAGGAGATGGTTGGGTGGCTCCAAGGATGGAGATGTGGGTGGGTGGTGGATCTCCATCCCCACGTGACAACAAGGACAAGACCTTCCTGGTCCAACCTTCTCCCCAAAAGACCTTCAGCCACAGTAGGTCACTCGGGACCTTGCCCAGGAGATGGCTGGGGGCGTTCCAAGGATGGAGACCCACCACTGAAGGTCTATCAAGCCCAAGAACACAGGTCCCGTTTCTGGTCACTGCTTGAACCATCTCCACCACCAGCTCCACCCTTGGAAGACCCCTGATCTCCAGGTGACACCATCTCCCCAACATGGTGGAACCCATAAACCTGCTGAGAAGCTCCTTGGTCCCACCACAGAAGGTGTTAATGAAGATCCATCACCCACACGTCATTTCCAGCGATCTCCTGGATCGTCTCCACCATCAGCTCCACCCTTGGAGATCCCTGGTCTCCAGGTGACCAACATCTCCCCAACCTGGTAGAACCCAGGGACCTCTCAAGAACTTCTTGGTCCCACCACAGCAGCTGTTGCTGAAGATCCACCAAGCCCTAGGACACGCGTTCCATCTCCACCCACCACCTGGACCATCTCCAGCCTTGGAGATCCCTCATCTCCATCACCCAACCTGGTAGAACCCAGGGACCTCTCAAGAACTTCTTGGTCCCACCACAGCAGCTGTTGCTGAAGATCCACCAAGCCCTAGGACACGCGTTCCATCTCCACCCACCACCTGGACCATCTCCAGCCTTGGAGATCCCTCATCTCCATCACCCAACCTGGTAGAACCCAGGGACCTCTCAAGAACTTCTTGGTCCCACCACAGCAGCTGTTGCTGAAGATCCACCAAGCCCTAGGACACGCGTTCCATCTCCACCCACCACCTGGACCATCTCCAGCCTTGGAGATCCCTCATCTCCATCACCCAACCTGGTAGAACCCATGAACCTGCTGAGAACCTCCATGGTCCCACCACCCATGGAGCTGCTGGATTCCCTGCCCCCTGAAGGTCCCTGGGTGGGGCTGGTGGTGGCCCCGGGGGGTGGTGGCCCTGGCCCAGGGGGTGGTGGTGGCCCCACCTGAGGTGAGCATCATGATGCTGCTGTCGGCCTCGGGCGGGAGCACGTCCACCAGGGCGTTGCTGTGCTTGTGCAGGGCCACCGAGGCGTTGGGCTTCAGCAGCTCCCGGTCGATGGTGCTCAGGATGCGCACGTAGTAGTTGGAGCCTGCGGGAGGAGGTGGAGAAGGTGGCACCTCCAGGGGGGTCATCTCCAGGGGGGTCACCTCCCCCGGGGCGCGGCCCTCAGCTCCTCGTGTCCCCATGACACCCATCGTAGACCTTCTGCGCCCATCCCCACGTCCCCACCACCCCACGGCCACCTCCAACCCTCCATGTCCATCTCCAACCCTTGATGTCCATCCCCACGTCCTCACCACCCCCAACCATCTCATGGTCGTGGCCATGGTGGTGGAGAAACCCAACCCTCCATGTCCATCCCCACGTCCTCACCATCCCATGGCCACCTCCAACCCTCGACATTCATCCCCACGTCCTCACCACCCCCAACCATCTCATGGTCATGGCCATGGTGGTGGGGAAACCCAACCTTTGATGTCCATCCCCACGTCCCCACCACCAACCCTCAACGTCCATCCCCACGTCCCCACCACCCCATGGCCACCTCCAACCCTCCGTGTCCATCCCCATGTCCCCACCACCAACCCTTGATGTCCATCTCCACGTCCTCACCATCTCCAACCAGCTCATGGTCATG